GTAAATAACGAAACCTACAATAAGCTAATTGTATCACACCTGGTTTATAAACAATATGAATGAGCTAAATACAGTTCATATAACGGAGGCATAATGAGACAAGAGTGATGACACTATCTTGGTGGCATTTAATTGTGTCTTGGCTGTGAACGAGTGCAGGGGTGGGGGAAGGAAAGGGAAGGGGTAAGGGAGTGGGAGGGGGGATGGGAGGGAGATGGGAGAGGAGGTGAGACATTAATGAGTCAGATAGGTAATGGGAGATAAGAAATAGTGAATAAAGTGGCACAGGAGAAATGAAGAATAGGTGTAGCGATTGTGTGTGTGTGTAGTTTATACTTGAGAGTGAACACACAAACACACACACAAAGTCAGCAGTGGTAGAGGAGGGTGGCGTCACACTGCTGCCGTCACCCTTCCCCGTCTCTCCGTCACCACACACCCACAGACGCTACGCTCTAGTAAACAAAGCCGCCCCAATGTTCCGTAATGTTGGTTCATATGCGAGAATACTTACCCAGTTTTACCACACCCAGCTTTAAAGCCTCACACAACCTTCCAGCTTTAAAATAATCTCCACTGAAAACCTTCGAAACATGAGTTCCAGAGCTTGAAAATAGAGCTAAAATATTTGGTTTCTAAGTGCGATAATGAAGCTCCGAAATGACTATAAAAATACTTTGTCTTACTTGGACCAGAATAAACACACACGACGAAGCTTTTGAAATGAGCAACAAAGCTTTGAAACTGTAAGTGAAACTGAGAGGAAATTGAACACAAACTTAATTAAACTACCTTTTGTTTCTGTTGTTCAACCTGGTGAGCGTGACCCCGTGAACCTGGTGAGCGTGAGGAGAGGGGGGAGAACGTACAGGTGAGCGTGGGGAGGTGCAGGTGAGCGTGGGGAGGTGCAGGTGAGCGTGGGGAGGTACAGGTGAGCGTGGGGCGGTACAGTACAGGTAAACATGGGCGCCACATCAGACAGCCACCCATCTGATAATCTCCACCCTCCATAACACACCATCCATGACCCGGAGGTGTGTAGCGGCACACCCTCAGCCCACCAGAGACAACACTACACTCCACACCTGTTAACCAGTCCTAAAAACACACACACACACACACACCTGTTGTTTAAATGTTGGCATAATGGTGTTAAAGTGTCATGTTTGATGTGTGAATGAATAATTACTGTCGTGCAGAGTGAAGATCCAGTGTTAAGTTATTATGCCGTGTTATAATTACGCCTCCTCTCCCTCCTCCTTTTCCACCTCCCATTTCTCTTCCTCTCCATCCTCTTCTTCTTTCTCCTCCACCTCCTCCTCCTTAGTTAAATGAAATATTAGTCCAGGTGTTGTGGCTGATTTTATAAATATGTGTGAATGTGTTACACTTTGTCCTGACATGAGCCAGATTTTGCTTCATGGTTTAATCCTTCGAGGAGGATGGTTTAACCCTTTGTAGAAGAAGATGGTTTAAGGACATTTTAACCCTTTGAGTAAGATGGTTTAACACCTTGAGAATAATAATTTAAAAGTTTAACACCACTGAAGTTGATAGGTTGATCTTTTCGTCCTCAGGGGGTTAAAATGAGTCTGTAAATATGTTTCTCGGGTGTCAAGACGCGAGAGCTGTACCGCAGACAACACTCAGCAGCATCAAAAATGTAAAATGTATACTTCTAACCTTCACGCAAAATAAACTGTTTCTCTTTTAATTGCAGGTGAGCGTGGAGACCAACAGGTGAGCGTGGGGACCAACAGGTGAGCGTGGGAGCCTACAAGTGAACGTGGGGACTAACAGGTGAGCGTGGGGATCAACAGGTGAGCGTGGGGACCAACAGGTGAGCGTGAGGACATTCAGGTGAGCATTACGTAGGTGACCTGAAAAGAGGCGACCCTGACACAATTTCCGCCCAAGTGACCAAACCCTCCCCTTTCCGGACGTCAGTAATGGTTGGTCCTGATCACCCAGGTGTAGACAGGGGGAAGTGGTGGGAGACCGGGGGGTATAAGGAGAAGAGGGCAAGGTAGAGAGTTAGGGAAAAGGGAAAAAAGGAGGGTGGGGGGAAAAGAGGGTGGTAGGGAAAAAAGGACGGTAGGGAAGAAGAGGAGGGTGGGAAAAAAGAGGAGGGTGGGAAGAAGAGGAGGGTGGGAAAAAAGAGGAGGGTGGGAAAAAAGAGGAGGATGGGAAAAAAGAGGACGGTGGGGGAAGAAGAGGAGGGTGGGAAAAAAGAGGAGGGTGGGAAAAAAGAGGAGGATGGGAAAAAAGAGGACGGTGGGGGAAAATAGGAGGGTGGGAAAAAATGAATACCTGTACAACAATGAGTCAACACACTCACACCGTATAATGAATATGAGGCTTACTTATGATGACAAATACATGAGGACTGGGACCCATTAGAACTGTGGCCCATTCTAAGGACCCATTAGAACCAAGACCCATTAGAACTGGGGACCATTTTAAGGACCCATTGGAACCGGGGCTCATTAGGACCAGGAACCTATGTAACCTTCCAACCAATCCAAGTGAGTCATTAAGTGCTCGCTACAACCTCTTAAAATTCTCAGGATTGTCTTGGTCTTATGAACACGTCATCCTGGGTTAAGAAACAGGTAGTAAATACAGCAATAAATATAATGTGTAGGATGAAACCTGGCTCTTAGTGTATGTGACTGTGTGTGTGTGTGTGTGTGTGTGTGAGAGAGAGAGAGAGAGAGAGAGAGAGAGAGAATAATGGTGGTGGTTTTAGAGGTTAAAGTTGTGGTTTTCGTGAATATGCATAAGCTTGAACACACACACACACACACACACACACACACACACACACACACACACACACACACACACACACACACACACACCACCCTCGTCAAACGTTCAACACCTTGTTATCAGTAATTCATCCAGGAGTGAGCGGTAACATGGCCTTGTTTTTATACCGTGTTTCATTATTAACTGTGTGTCACCTGCTGTGGCACTGTGTGAGTGTCCGCGGAGAGGAGAGAGGGAGTGGTCCTGACACTCTTGGAGGAGAGAGGGAAGGGAGCTGACACTCTTAGGGGAGGGAGGGGCTGTTGCTCTTTGGGGGAGGGGGAGGGCTGACACTCTTGGAGGAGGAATTTGTTGCTCTTAGTGGAGAGAGGGAGGGCTGACACTCTTAGTGGAGAGGAGGAGGGGCTGACACTCTTGGTGGAGAGAGAGGAGCTGGCACTCTTGGGGAGGGGAGGGAAGGGAGCTGTGCTCTTTGGAGAGGGAGGGAGGCTGACACTCTTAGTGGAGAGGGAGGGCTGACACTCTTGGGGGGAGGAGGGAGGGCCTTTGACACTCTTGGGGGGAGGGAGGAGGGCTGACACTCTTGGTGGAGAGGAGGGCTGACGCACTCTTGGGGGAGGGAGGGAAGGGAGCTGACACTCTTTGGGGGAGGAGGGAGGGAGGGGCGCTGACGCTCTTAGTGGAGAGAGGAGCTGACACTCTTAGAGGAGGGAGGAAGGAAAGAGCATCGTCTTTGCTGGAGGAGGACACACAACCCTTGCCGTCACCCTCTGCCTGTCACTGATCAGGGGTGGTAGGGGCGCAACAATGGTAGCAATGTCAAAGTAGGCTGGACCAGCGTGGTGGTCATGAAGTGTGAGGATGGCCCTGGACCAGCGATGTGGCCATGATGTGTGAGGGTGGCCCTGAACTAGTGTGAAGGCCATGAGGTATGAGGGTGGCCCTGGACCATTGTGGTGGCCATGAGGTGTGAGGATGGCCCTGTGACCAGCGTGGTGGCCATGAGGTATGAGGGCGGCCCTGGATCAGCGTGGCGTGTGGCCTCGCATGGCGGGACACGTTACCTTAATTATCCTTCCCATCACTACTACCAGTCTATAACGGCTCTCTCCCGTCTGTGTGTGTCTGTCTGTTGATACGTGTGTGTGTGTGTGTGTGTGTGTGTGTGTGTGTGTGTGTATCATACATAAGATAAAAGGTTAAAAATAAGAACATTTCAAGAGCTCTTTTTAAAATAACATTTCGTCTTCTTACTTCTTCTCGGGATCCCTGTGGGGCTACCTGGAGCTCCTTCGCGTATTCATCATTTTAAAATATTTACTTGGAAAAAAAAATTAACATTAAAAAAAAATCCTGCACATGTTAAAGTATTCAAAACACTCACTCTCACACACTGACACACTCACCACCATATCTGAGCCTCCACCAGTCACTCTCACTCAGCCATGGTAGTACCTGACGCGGTATATCCAACCTAAGGCGTCAAAAAGTGTTATGTTAAGGTCACACATTTACAGGCAGCGAGTGGGCCGTGTGGAAGGTGAAGGCGTCATACGAGTATATATATCATTATTTACCAAACCAGTGATTTGGAGCTTTTATTGACGAATTTATCTCCCACTTCTGTGTATTGTGAACCTTGGTCTACAGTCTGTGTCAGTGGTGGCCTGAGGGAAGGGCAAATCGGGCGACCCCGCGGGACCCTGCACTTAAAGGGTCACAAAAGCTTGCAAATTTTTATGGGTGAAGAGTTAATATGGGTTTAACTGTCCCCTAAAGAAACCATTAATCTTTTTCTAAAGTTTTTAACGTTTTTTATCCTAAAGTTTTATATCCGTAAAAAGTTACATTTCGTGAGAGAACCACCTCTGTTTAAACATATCATTGATTCATCAGTAACTGGCTGTCACCTTGTGTTTCATCACCAGTATTGTGTTGTTCCTCTTGTCTTGTGGTGTACAGTTTAAATCCGCTGATGACAGTATTTGTTGTTCGTTGTAATGACTTGTGTAGTGTTCATATATTGTGTAATAGTCTCCACTCTATTCGCCATAAGAATTAGTTACATTTAATGCATTCCGATATTTTCATTGCAGTTTAATGGATGGTGTAAAATGAAATGTAATTCAGAAATGCCCGACCACAGGTCATCACATGTTAACATTTAAGGTCTCCCAAATGACTCTATACGGAAAACTGTGTAAACAAACTTGTACTGCCTCACCAACCTTCATTATGAACGTGTGTGTGGACAAAGTTGACTGCCTCTGAAAAAGAAAATCATAATTACTCGCGAGTTTTGACGTACCAACACAAAACACCGTCCAGGACATGATACCAGGACATTAATACAGAAATGAAGGAAATAACGGGAAAGATTAAAGAGAAGAAAACAAGAACAAAGCATAATACATATTCAGTAAATAATAATAATAATAATAATAATAATAATAATAATAATAATAATAATAATAATAATAACAATAATAATAATAATAATAATAATAATAATAATATATAATAATAATAATAATAAATATAACTAACATCTCAACAGAACTACAGTAGCCGGTGTAAAGGTGTGCCAACATAAAAATCTTTTCTTCCGTGACAGAACAAGTGACATTAATTTTTTCTCTGCCAGAGTGCGAGTTGGTGAGCAAGTGACCAATAATCTAACACCTCATGATAATTTACATATATTAAATAATAGTAATTGATCGTAACTCTCTCTCTCTCTCTCTCTCTCTCAGTGACCAATAAATTTTCAAAAAGTTTGGTCATGTTAGGAGGGTCACACAAGGCCACCTACGATTATGCTGTTCCGTCGAAGCTCTCGCCTAAAGCACGTCTTGCGTATTCTTAACATTATGGTCCATATTTTAATCGAGCATGAACCTCCACGCTAAGTCCTCCTGAAGCGAGTAATTTTTTTTTTCACTTTGTTACCGCTTTCTGTGTGTTGGAATTAGTGCCCGAAAGGTTAAGGCAAGTTAGCTCCACCGAGAAATATCCTGAAACAGTAAACTCAAAATAATGTAAACTAAAGATGGTGGTACGGTGTAATTAATGTTATACAGTGTGAATAATGTAGAATCACAACTACATGATGAAACGTATATAAAAGAAATTTTCTATCATTTATTCTAAGTATGTGCCGAGTCACCTGAAAGTAAAAGTCAACTGAAAGTCTTTAAACCGACCCACTGCTATACTCGTCGACATGTATCGGTGTATTTGTTTATGTCAGAAACCGTATTTAGACCAAAGGTTACAGGTGAGCTTTGTTTGGTCTGGTGGTCCTATTTTTATTAATCATTTTCACACTACAGTAATATTTGTCTTCCTCCTGCACTAAATTTATATATTTCGTGTATTGAAAAGAAAACATATAAATAAGATTCAAGAGAAAAAAATATCCAGAGTAAAACGGGAACTATTTTCTTTGATTTTCATCAAATTTGGAGCGATATGTAAAGTGGAGAAAATATTTTTTTTATGAAATGGAAAAATTTTGTTGTTTTTTTTCATTAAGTAAAAAAAATCATTCATGTCTTTGTGACACAATTTACAAAACAATACTTAAAAAGAAAACTTTCACTACACTGCATTGTTAAGAATTTAGTTAGCCAAGGCAGTACAGTACCATTTTCTCACAAACAAGAGTAAAGTTGTTTGTACATTTGTTTATTGATTTGTTTGCACAGGGCTGCCAACGCTCACGAAACAAGGGGGTCAGGTGGACTTTGCACAACATCAGGTGGGAGTTGCTCGTCGCGACACTCTGTTATTTATGAAACCCTTGAGGGTTTATCGGGCGACCTTCACCAAACATGGGGACTGGGAGTGTTTGTTCCTAAAGTTCAAATCTGATAGAACGTAAAGTCAACCAGGCACAGAGACAGACCCGCTGACATGAGGACATAAAACCGATATGTCCCTTTCACTCCACAAAAATGGGTCACACAGACTCATGAACAAGTGGATGCATCAACGCGGCAAGAATGGGTGTTCAGTCTTCATGACGCTCACAGGTGGTGACGTACAAGCAGAGGCGTCCGTGCATGACTCGTGGCAGAGTACTGTACGTGTGCATGAATGTGGGTCGATGGAGGGGATGACCAGGAGTGTGTAAATTCTGTGATGTGTGGTGGTGCTCTATGGTGTTGCTGTGTGGTGTATGGTTGTGCTGTCATAGTGTGGCGTGTGGTGGTGTTGTGTGGTATGTGGTGGTGCTGTGTGGAGTGTGGTGGTGTTGCATGGTGTTTGGCAGTATTATGTGGAGCGGGAATGTTTCGCTTCCTGAATGTAGGTTGGCGAGAGATACTTGTGTGGGGTGTGCTGTGGAGTATGGAGGTGCTCAGTGAAGTGGAGGTATACATCTCGGCCTTAATGTAGGTCGTTTGGAAGTATTCTGTGGAGAGTGACAAAGCAGTATGCCGTTTTTGAGGTCTGGGGAGAAGTGATGTGTCATTCAGGGACCTCCATGTAACTGGTCGCGTGAGCGAGTATATGGAGAGGCGTCGATGAATATATCAAATCAAGTGGTCGACTACGTGCGACTTCGATTGGATCCGAGGGTCAAACGGTCGACTAGAAAAGAACTTCACCGAGTTTTAAAAGTCGAGTGAACGTCTACAGAAAAATGGGACGTCGAGCGGTGTAAAAGTTGAGTGGATGGCTATGAAAGCAGGTTGACGAGTATAGGGGATCGAATCGATTGTAACAAAGACACATCGCCAGGGGAAATAGGTCGAATTGAAGACTACAAACGGACGTGGGAGGGAATAAACAGTCGAATGCGTGAATAATACGACATCGACGGGCTCAGTGGATCGAGTTAAAGACAACATCGGGGAGGCGTCGACGGGTGCAAAGAGGATGGTGAGTGGATGACGTCAGGAGGCGTGGAGGGAGGAAACGGCGACATGGAGTGGTATATGGATGTTGATGACGTTGGCATTGAAGAGTGACGTAGCCAAGGAGGTCAAGAGAGGTATACAAGAGACCAGTGGCGAGCGGCGAGGGGCTACCAATGTTAGTTAACGAGTGGCGAATTACGTATGACGAGACACTGCTAAAAACATGAGGCATTAAATAAAAAAAAACAATAAACAAGAAAAAATAAACAATAAGCAATTATACGGAAGAAGGACATAATTAAACACCAAGAAAGAAAGAAAGAAAGAAAGAAAGAACAACAACAGAAGGAGGGGGTGAAGGGGAGTGAGGGATGCTGATAACGTGGGACCCGAAGCACTGTAGAAGCAACAGAAGGGCGACGAGTTTCCGGGTTCCCACGTGGCCTCCGTCGGCGCCACCACCAGCCCACACCAAACCCAGGGGGGGGGCTCCACACCTGCACATTCCCCCTTCCACACCTGCACATCATCACGTACCACACCTGCACCTAAATACATCTTTGCAGAGGCTTACAAGTGACACGATACTGATTTCGGAGCGTGTGTGTGTGTGTGTGCGTGTGTGTGTGTGCGTTGAAATATCAGTCTCAATAATCAGAAATAGACAGACACGGGTCAACTGGTTTTACTAACAGTTATCATGACCTGTGACCCCAATAGAGGACATGCGAACCAAGTTTCAAGCTGATCCATCTAAGCTGTGAGGCAAGTTCCTGGGTCACGCACACACACACACATTGAGGAGAGGGTGTTTGGTCGACAGTAACCGACAGTAAAATTTCAATTTCTATGTAATAACTGATAATGCAGTTTCCACAAGACTCCACACACCTCACAGCCCACACTACCACACACACTCCTCAGCCCACACTACCACACACACACACCTCAGCCTACCACACACACACCTCCAGGCCCCACACTACCACACACACCTCCTGGCCCACCACACACACACAGCCCCACACTGCCACACACACTCACAGCCCCACACCACACACACACTCCTCACAGCCCCACACTACCACACACACACCTTACACCACACACACCTCACACTACTAGGGATGTATGGAGGGAATTAAGGATGCAATAAGGTAGAGAAGAAAAGAGGAGAGGTGTATGGTAGAGACGAGGAGGAGGAGGAGGGTGATACTAGGTGGAAGAGAGGTGGAGTAGTGACTGTGTTGGTGACAATAATTCATGTCATGTCTGCTTTGAACTGGATGTTGTGGGAGGGAAACTGATGGTGGGAGTGTGTGTGTGTGTGTGTGTTTTAATCAGGTCTGACCAGCGACTGACGTGATCATTCTAGCAACCTTTATCAACATGTTATGACTAACGAGAGCCCCAGAAGGATATACACATACACACACACACACACACCAATAAATATAATCTGCTTTGTGAGTTTCAAAGGTCGCTGCCGACACCACTAGTTCCTGACAGCCTTTAAATTGACATTATCTTCCCACCTACCTCACACACCCACCTGCCTCACACACCCACCTGCCTCACACACCCACCTGCCTCACACACCCACCTGCCTCACACACCCACCTGCCTCACACACCCTCCTGCCTCACACACCCACCTGCCTCACACACCCACCTACCTCACACACCCACCTTCCTCACACACCCACCTGCCTCACACCTGCCTCCACACCCACCCACCTCCACACCCACCCTACCTCCACACACCCACCTGCCTCACACCCACCTGCCTCCACACCACCTACCTCACACACCCACCTACCTCACACACCCACCTGCCTCCACACACCCCTACCTCACACACCCACCTGCCTCACACACCCACCTGCCTCACACACCCTCCTGCCTCACACACCCACCTGCCTCACACACCCACCTACCTCACACACCCACCTTCCTCACACACCCACCTGCCTCACACAATCACCAGATGTTTATAGATGCTCAGTAACGCAAAAATAATCCTGTAAACCCATGGCCACATATACACCATACTCCTTAATGTTCACGTAATTACTCGTGTACCGCTTCCTTTCTCTCTCGTCTACCATCTCCCTTACATTAACGTATCATAATTTACACTTCAAGATATAATCATACACAGTTTATACAGAATCTCCGGTTTGTCTGTGGAGGTAATTGTGGATGCTGTGTGTATGTGGCCATTAATCGTCTCTCACGTAGGAGGGGACAAACCAACTCACTGAGGTTTATAACGAGGCGGAGGGACAACCTGTTCTGACGGACGTAGAAATCATTTTTTTGGGGGGGGACGTGTGGCAACCAAGCGTGAAGTTAGGGCTCCAGTACCGTACACTTACAAGGTTAATGAATTAAATTACACAACAG